TCCCCCTGTTCAGAACCTCTTGCGTACAAGGCCGCCCACGTGGATGTAGGTTGAGCGGCGGCTGCCCCCACCCCCGTGTGTCATATCGACCCACTTGCACACAGCCAAAAGGCAAAGAGGCAAAGAAAAGAGGAAGGGAACAGACAAATAAAACAGAACAGGGGGCAACAAAACAGATCCCAGATGACAAGTCCCACATGCAAGCACCGCACCAGCACACACAGGCCAAACGACGGGACAAGACCAACCAGGATGTCGAAACATTCTTGTCTGCAAAGATTTCAAAAAAAGTCCCAGATACATATCTATACACAGCAGATGACCTTGTTCGACGTTGGAATTCCTATTCGGCGTCATCGTAAGCAACTCGTACCGGGACATCATAAAAAACAATCCTAGATGATGATTCGCACATAAAAGCACCGCCCCCATGTAGGCCGAACAACGGGAAACAACCAACCAGGATGCCAGGACAAAAAAAAAAAACCGGATGACTGGTCCCACATGAAGCACGGCTACGCCCGTGAAATAGACCGAACTATATATATATATATATATATATATATATATATATATATATATAAAAGAGTGAGTTTCGAAATGGGCTTCCCATTTGAGTTCTAGAACCATTGTAGCTAAATTTAATCCCTCAATCCGCAAGAAAAAGGAAGTGGTTCCGTCCAGTCCAAGTTTGGCCATCGAACTAGAGTGTTTGAACTAATTCCATTTTCCTCTCAGCGAAGAGTTGGCAGAATAAATTGACTGAACATTTTGGCATCTCGTTTGATGAAAAATGCTATCGAGTCCAAAAACTTTTGATCTTGAATTCATGATAAGAAGGCGCCGCTTATACACTGAGCTTCCCCCTTCACTAACCATTTTGCGCTTTTCCAAGTTCTATGTCGGGAGTGTATGTTTTGGCTGTGACAGACTTTCCTTTGTTTCATGGGTGTTTTGCTGTCTTGTTAAGGGGTTGCGTTTTTCCAAGTTCTACGTCGGGAGTGTATGTTTTGGCTGTGATAGACTTTCCTTCGTTTCGTGGGTGTTTTGCTGTCTTGTTAAGGGGTGTGAACCCACAATCTGTAGAGTTTTCCATCTGGTGTGGATGACTCAGGGTGAGTGACAGTCTGCTTTGGTTTTCGTCACAGGTACTACCTTGAGGGAAGGAGTTGGTGCCCACCTCAGGGTATCAGCTGTCGGGTAGTTGTGGATGCTTAACCAGAACCAGGGTTAAGCTGTGCAACCGTGTGTTATTGAACGCGGGTTCGATGTTCAGAAACTGAACGCAGTGAACGTGCGTTCAATGAACGCGTGTTTACAACATGAACGGGTTTGCGCAGGTAGAAATGCTGGGGGGGGAGGTGGGAGGCGGGTTGATTCGGCACGTGGGGGGTCGTGAAGGGGGTACCTCCCTCATCCCTGTTTTTCAAGGGGAAAAAGGAAAAGTTGGAAAACGGTAAAAGAAAAAAAGAAAAAAAAAGTTATCAGACCCATCCTTGCGGCGCATCCCATGCGCAGGGTGGGTTGGCCAAACACTCCCCTCACTTCTAAAAATCAGAAAGCAAGAGGGAGAAAACTCAGGGACCCCGAAACTGTGGGTACATGCAAGGGCATGTGAGTATTCATGTCTCAATTGTGTCCGGCCTCTTTTCCGAAGGGCCCTCACAGCGAATTAACTCGGACGCCATGTGCAGCACAGGTGGACTTCATACTTCCACTTGCCAGCGTGAGCATAGAANAATTAACTCGGACGCCATGTGCAGCACAGGTGGACTTCATACTTCCACTTGCCAGCGTGAGCATAGAATATATAGTCTGGATTCAAATTCAGGTCTGTGCATCTCGGTTATGGGTCAATATTAATATTAATACGTGCAGTGGCCCTAAGGGCCTCTACACACCACATGCACAAAAGACAAAACATATGGCGGTGTATTATTCCACAATCTGCAGAAGATTCATTCTAATTTTGCACATTCTGTGAGTAGCGCAGCCAAGCCTTGAGAATCAAGTGCACAGACCAACATGGCCTAGCTACGTGAGCAACCCATAGCTGCTGAAACACAGACCTGATTTTTTCCTGAGTATATATTAGGCCAGCTCGTGCTCTACTTCTGAACTTCGTACTCACTGCCTGCTTCATACTCGCTGTCTTCCTCGAATTTGGTGGAGGGTCTGCACTTTATTGCTGCAAGGACCCTCCCGATTAACCGCATGGGCCCTCTGAGCCGTGCTAAGGGGATCCGCCTCTCTCTCTCTCTCTCTCTCTCTCTCTCTCTCTCTCTCTCTCTCTCTCTCTCTCTCTCTCTCT